TCTGCTACTTTCAAAGAGGGAAACAGTCCCGTGATTGGTGTGAATATTGCAAGTAGTGTAGTACACTTAAACCAGGAGGTGAAGAATAAAATTAAACTGCACTCCTGCAGCAGTAATTTATTCATCCCAGCAGTGAAACTGGGATTTGTTTTTCCTGATGGTGTATGTACAGTTATAAGTGTTCCCTCTTGGGCCTCATTCCAGGCAAGGTAAACCTCACTTTGCTGTTTCAGATCATAGCCTTGCGGTAAGTGGGATTGGTCACTTGGGGATGCTTTGTGTGTGGATGAGTTATTTAACAACAGAAACTGCCTGGGTTTTAAAGCCTTTTGAATGTCAGTATTTTCCATTGCTAGAGCTAATTCTTTGTTACCTATTGTACCACAGTCTCTAATCCTAATACTTCTGATTATCCCTACTTACTGTGCTTTGGTTCACACCATGAAGTAGTCTTGGAGCTTGTGACCCGAGTTCCTTTCAGATGGAACTGAACTGGAAGATGTGTTCCAACTGCAAATGAGCATTCAGCCCATGGGACCAGCCTAGAGTTGATCCAGAGTGTATTTCAAGAGGAAATGAGCCCTGAGATATCCATAATGTTGACATCTGGTCCTCTGTGCTGTTTCTCTCTACAGATGTTTCAGTCAGTTTAGATGTAGTGTCCAATAGCAACTTTGCATTTGAGACTACCATAAGACACTTGATTCTCTTTTAATGACTTAGACACTTGTGTAACTGAGAAGAAAAGTTGTGTGTGTGGAGGGGATGTTGTTCACACTGGAAAAGCAGGATAAGCTTTCAAAGTGATTTGCTTCCTTCATCATGCTTTTGATGGAAAACGCAAGCAGTAATGCTGGAAGTTAAGGAATAACAGTTCCCGCTCCTTGTTTTCTATTTAGTAGAGATGGGGTCCTGTGAACTCATTCAGCTCTTTGCATGGTAACCAAAGGTGGCACCTGCTAGAGCGACAGCAGCGTCTTGGCAGGCTCTTCTGTCCTTCTTGAGGACTCGGGGCTCTCTCTGCATTGTGCACGTTTGGCTTTGCCTGAGTTCAGCAAGCAGAGGCTAACAACTGTAGTGGGTTTCAATTGGGATGTTACCATAGCATCCTGGGACTTGTACAGTCTATTTAGAAGTCCAAAGGTTTGAAAAGAGTCCTTGAAAGTTTCTGAACTCTGGCAAGCTGCCGAAATGTAATTACACAAAAGACAAAGCCTTACTGAAAGCAGCTCTGTTTGGGGAAGCAGCACCTGAGTGCTGGAGTTCCCAGCACAGCCGTTTCTGAGAGCTGGGGCTGTTCTAGCACAGTCTCCTCCCAAGCCTTTTTTAGTTCCTCTCACGTGCACGTGCCATCCCACAAGCATGGACTGGGTGTGCTGCAAGAGGCAGCTTTCTCAGCAGTGGCATTGAAAGAGTTCTATGCTTTGGCTGCTCTGGGGCATGGAAAGGAAAGGAGTGAAAAAGTAAGCATCTTGAAGTCCTTACTGCAAAAGCTGCTTTGGATCTTCCCAGCGAGTGAGAACCTTGGTTTACTTTGCTTATCTTTTTCCAGAATATTCTCATGAGTGAAAGGGAGAAGTTCTTTTGTTAGCGGAATATCCAGTTGCATAACAGTCCTTGTGTGAAATAACTAATGAACATTCAGTTCAGTTTCTAGTCTCAGTTTCAGCAAGACAAATAAAATCATGTCCTTAGTAACTTTTGTTAATGCTCTAATTTGCCTGCTCTATTCACTGGTAACGTAGAGGGCCAGGGCAATGCAATAGGAGGTTTGGAGGCTTACAGAGCTGTTGAAAGCTTTCTTGAAGGAATCTCTTGCAGATGGCTGCTCAAAATGCCAAAAAAGGGGGAAAGGAGAAGTTAACCAGAGAAGTGAAAGCTTATTTTCCCTTCTTCTGGGTTCACAACCCCCTTTTTAAATGACTGAGGACAAGCTGATACCTTGTTGGGGTACCCTGGTTCATTCAGAAGTGCTGATAAGCTCTGGCCACCAGTGAGAGGGGGGCAGACAGAAGGAAGACTGAGAAATCCTAAGGGGAGAATCTCAGCAGCTGTTGAACTTGCTGGGAATGTTGAGCGCTGAGTGTGTTGCTTTGCTGTTGATATCTTGTTTACTTTAGCCATTCCTCTGAGTCTGCAGCCTGTTTCCTTTTTGTGTTCAAGGGAAACTGGAAAAGACATCTGTTGGCACATATCTAAAAATCATGCATAAAATGTTGGTCATAATCCTTACATGCTGTTGGAATACCTGCAACAGCTTTGGGTTGTCACTGCTTCTGTAACTTCCAGAAGGGTTTACCTGCGATCCGTTACCACTGGCCACATTAATGGTAGCTTTACCTCCAGAAAGTTGTTAAGGAAAATGTGGCCAAGTTATTTTTGTGCCATTATCATCTACCCATGATAAAAGGAATTTCAAAATGCACAGTTTGTTCAAAATGTATACTGTTCCTATCTCTTGCAGCAATCTTGACTCTGCCTGGAAATAGACCTGTTGATTTGTCCTTGGTCCGCTTGCTGGATAGCTCCAACAAAGGCTGGCTCCTTTAAGCTGAACTTTTCCAGCTTATAAGAAGACATTTGTAAAGTAGGGTCTCTGAAATGCAGCATCGCAACTGGGATAAAATTCTGCCTCCCCTGCTTGCAGACTTGAGCTTTTGGGAGAAAAAATCCTTCCATTGTATAGTTAAACAAGATCTTATTGCGAGAAATGAGGAATGAAAGCAATATAGTACCTCTTTTACTCAACTAGCTGGCGGCACTTGGCTGTCAACACATCCAGGTGTGCTGATATTCCAACGTATCCACCCACTCTTTTGACTGAGTAAGCAACAACAAATGATATCATACCCTTCTGCCTGCTAGCTTTAGAGCCATCCCATGCAGAAAATGCAAGTGACTGGAGTTTTCACTTATTAGAACTAAGGAGTAATATAGTAGAGCTGTCTGCTGTGAATTAATAGTATGTTAGCTCCATGTCTGGACCTTTCCATTACAGTTGTGCCAGGATCTGCTTCCAGAAGCTGCATGTGCTGAAGTTCTGAGCAACATAATTTGGTGCATTTAATTGTATGATTGTGCCTTCATCTCCTTTCTCTTTCTGAACATCTCCCTTACGTATCTCATCTTTCTAAAAGCTGCCTTCTCCTATTACAGCACGTTTCTTTTTTTTTATACATATCCCTCTTTTCTCCATCAGCCTGTCAAATCATCAGCCAAACAATGCAAATTGGAAATGAAAAGTCTTACAGGCTGTTTGGTTGGGATGAGAAGATATGAAATCCCATTTCCAGCTTTGTCACAGGCATCTTGTGGGACTTCATTCAAGTTACTTTCCCTTATTCTGAATGCAGTCACTCTAAGGCAGCGAGCTACAGCACATTGTAATGAATGCTCTTTACTTACACGATAGTCAAGGGAGCCCTTTCCTGTAATCCTGGCATATTTTGATCAGGCATATGATTTATTTATTTAGTCTCTTGAGACAATGGTTGAGTTTTCCTCTGGTTTATGCAGAACTGGTGCCCGAATAAGGTTTCATAAATACAAAATAATATATTTGACCATGATATGTACAGAAAGAGTATTTCTAATTCCAGAATTCACAAGTCATGAGTATTTCTTAATCATAAGGTGATTTTACTTATTTAAGTTGCATTTCCTCCTGGGTAGGAGGGCTAAAAGCAGTGTTCTGCACCTCACGTGACAAAAAAACTCTGTTTACTCTTATGTCTTTGAGAACCAGGACACTAAAACCCAGGAATTGTGATTCTTTTCACTGAAATTGAATTGGCTTCTCTCCACAGCCCCCTCCCAGTTCTTACAGGACTTTTTCATTTCACTCGACTCTCTCTGGTATAATTCGTTTTCCCATGTAAGACCCTCTCCTATACGATGAAGGATCAAGTGATTTATGCTATTTATATTTAAAGAGATGATTTAAAATTGCAGACTGAGAGGGTTCACAGTGACCACTGGATTTTGTCTGTTGTGGAGATGCTGCCTATGGAGAGGTTCTGCTGTGATGAAAGTGAACTTCCATCTTTTCATTAATTCTCTCCTGTGCGGGGGAGTTAAGCTGCTGTCCCAAGTGAATGTTTTTAATGATCTCTCTGGAGTGTTTGAAGGCTTAGTCCCACTTGCATGGTGCAGAGTGAAATGCACAAAATCTATCTTTGAGGCAGCCCTGTCATTATACCTTTTGGTAGATAATGTTTGTATTTGCATTCCTATTGTTCTTGCATGTTGAGCTTTACCGTGCCCAAAGGAGAGCTGCTCACACTTCAGAGAAACCTTGGAAAAGGTTGTTTTCTATATGCTTGCTATATAAAGTTACCATAAAGTGCTTACAACTCAAATAGGAGAGATTTGTACTAGAATGCAAGAATGTGAATATCAAATTGACAATCCATCATAATGACCAACTACTCTCTTCAAAATACACAAGTGCAAGGTGTTGTTTAGTGCAGTGTCCATCTGCTCTTCGTGGCAGCCGCAGCAGATTTTAACGACGCATGTACATGCAATACGTACAAGTTTCAGTGACCTCGAAATTAAATCTTAAGGCTTGTAAAGAGGATTTTTTACATTTATTTCTTTCTTTATTTTCAGTGGCTTCACAGAAAACTGTGGTGAGAATAGCAGCAAAGTACCAATGGTATTAAAAGAAAGGGCATCTTCTGGTCAGATAAACAAAAGTTACTCTTGGCCAGCTGTTTTCCAATGGATTGGTTTCAAATCAGTGGCTCTTGGACACCCCTTGCTGGGATTCTTTAGAATGAATTTTACTTTCACAAGCCTCTAATTCCTATAATTAAATTTCAGTGTGTGGTTTTTGCAGATGGTTTTCTCTCTAGAGAACAGATGGGTTTAAGCTTTGGAGATTGGGTTTCACAAAATGTAACTGCCAGTGGTTTTGTTGCCACTGCTCTAGCTGGCCCCAGAACATTGACATTGGTTCAGCTTTCTAACGTTCTTTTGTTTTGACTTTATCTCCACAGCTTTAACAGCGTGCGTCAAGGAACACACATCTTGTTCCGTGAGTTCAGCTTTGTTCAAGCTACTCCTCATAACAGGGCATCTTTCCTTCGGACCTTCTGGAGATGTTTCCGAACAGTGGGGAAGAATGGAGGCAAGTATGCTAGCATCTGCTGCTGTCCTGTTCCCTTGACAATAAAATCATCAGTGAGGCTATTGATGCAGTACAAATACTGACACTTCACAATGTGTTCTAATGTTGTTAATAGGGAGACACCAGCACAGTTGCCTGTGGAATAGTTAATAAATGCTCACATTACGTGAAGTGTAGAAGCACCTTGCTGCCAGTGCTGCTTCCATTACAGAACTGCAACACTCTGTCAGAGGGAGGATGTTGTGGGCCTGTGTGTGAGGATGTATAGACAAAAATAAAGTGCTGGAGGTTGGTGGATGGGAGCAGGGCAGCAGACCCAGAGGTGGTCAGACTACAGGGTATGGCACATGAGGGCAGTAGGTGCTGAGATTATTGGGCAGTTGGGGTACCAAGAGCTTTGACTGAGAGCCCTGCAGGAGGTAGGGTCATGTCGGGCTCTAGGGTGGTGAATTGCTGCTCAGTAGTGCTTACCTTGATCAAGGACTTTTCAGTCTCTCATGCTCTTGTGCATCACTTGTGTTTCTTGGGTTTTATTCCTCTGTTTCTTCCCACCTACCCCCACCCCCTTATTACTATATTTTACTGTATTTCAATTATTAAACTGTTCTTATCTCATCCCATGGGTTTTACCTTTTTCTGATTCTCCTTCTTATCCCACCAGGGATGAGTAAAGGGGGAGTGAATGAGTGTTTTCTGCTGGGGTTAAACCACAACACCTACCCACAAGGAAAAAGTTCCAATGCCAAAATAGCTATTCAGCACTGTGCTGTCTTGTCTAACTATTCTTATACTGCACTTGGTATATTAGGTATTACAGAACTGGCCAGAGTTCAAAATAAACTCATGTAACTACATGCAACTAAAATTACGGGGTTTTAAGTTTTTAATTTAGTATTTTAAGCAAATATACTGAATGTTGCTGTACAAATGTGAATTTTGGTGGATTGTTTTTCTATAAGCCTTACTTGTTTCAGGCTATTCAGCCTCACTTCTTGTTTTAGGGAGGACTAGGACCATTTCTTAAGTGTAGATAAAACCTCGTCTCCTGGTTCAGCTTTCCAGCACTGCTCATGACGAACAGAGTTTGCAAGACTCTGAATAGCTATTGACTTTTTGACATATGCCATTAGACCCTTGGAAAGAAGACAATTGTAGTTGAACATGACAAAATCTGTAGTTAGCTACTGAAGTGACTGACTATGCTTCTGTATAGTACTAAGCTGACCAGTATGTAGTGAGGACACACCTGAAGTGAGGTCAGGTCGTGGTCAGGAAAGATAAATTGTAGACTCCTAGAACATTCCTGTAGGAGAATGAGATGATAATAAAGAAGTCATCCACCAGAACTGCGGGTGTCAGTGGTAAATCTTGTTGACAAATTGAGAAGAAGCTGTCTGATGGAAAGTACCCACTGCTGTACTTTCAATGCAGGTTTTCATCAGGCTTCATCCATCTGGCATCTGATCTTAGCCAAATGGTGGGCACCTGGATTTGTTGGAAAGAACTGAAAAGTTTTAGCTACACAGTATCTCACTCTCTTTTAGCAGTTTTATGTGAATATGGAAGAGGTTGTGCAAGAAAATGTAAACAGCAAAGTACTTTGAAGGGGAAGAGAGAGCACAGGAGTAAAAGCTCAGGTGGATGTTACTATGCTGTGGTTGTGGCCTTACAAGAGTTCAACATGTATTTTTCTGACTTTAAAGTCCAGTGGCTGTGCTTTTTAGTTTGAGCAAATATGGCATGTTTACCTGTATATTTATACATTTATATACGTTTTCTGTTTACATTAACTAGAGACAGAAATGCATCACTTCAGAGAACTTCCCATCTTTATTTTCATCTGCTCAGTCCAATTTCTCTGATTCTCTAGCAGTAGAGACTAGAACCTTCATTTTATTCATTTTGGGTTTATTTGCTGTGGGATTTTTTTCTGCTATGCTCATGTGTAGGGGAACTCAGAACGCTCATGGTCTGCTAAGAACTGAACTCATTTACTAAGAAACTGAACCTGTGCAACGTGGTGGGTGAATTATGGTTATTACCGCACTCAGGCATAGACTAGACATGGATTTCTTTCCTTGAAATACATTGCTTTAGAATGAATGTGGGAGGAATCATGTTATACAGCAAATAGCAGCATCCAGAAGTGAAATCATTGATGATCTGAACTATAGACTGAATTTCTTAACAACAGGAAAAAGTCAGACTAAGTGGTGCCCAAAGTAAGTAAAGACTTTCACTGTGGAGCTTTCTTTAGAAGCGTGGCAGGTGGAACATATTCCTGCTGGATTATTCTAGAAGTTAGTTTTCAGTTGTTTCTTTGGAACACAAGACCATACATACGTATCAAATCAAAAACTGTTATACAAGCTTGCATGGAGCCATGAGTCTATAGGTAGTTTGTTGCTACAGTGTCTCATTTTATGATGACACAATTTTCACTATCTATACATTGTATAATGTGCCGGAGTGTATTGGGTTTGTGTGGCAGGGTTTTGGTAATGAGGGAGTTATGGGGTGGCTTGTGTGAGAAGCTGCTATAAGCTTCCTCCGTGTCTGATAGAGCCAGTGACAGGCAGCTCCAAGGCAGTCCTGCTTCTGGCAATGGAGCAGAGATACCTCTGCAGCCTGAGGTGCAGCCCATGGTGAGGCAGGCTGTGCTTTGCAGCCCATGGAGGTCCATGGTGAGCAGATATCCACCCACAGAGGACCCCACACCAGAGCAGCGGGATGCGTGAAGGAGGCTGTGACCCCCTGGGCAGCCCACACTGGAGCAGGCTCCTGGGAGGACCCGTGGCCCCGTGGAGAAAGGAGCCTGCACTGGAGCAGGTTTGCTGCAGGACTTGTGACCCCCGTGGGGGACCCACGCTGGAGCCGTTCATGAAGAACTGCAGCCCATGGGAAGGACTCATGTTGAACAAGTTCATGGAGGATTGTCTCCTCCGTGAGCAGGGTTATGCTGGAGCAGGGGAAGAGTGTGAGGAGTCCTCCATGTGAGGTAGAAGAAGCAGCAGAGCCAGCATGTAATGAACTGACCACAACCCCAATTGCCCATGACAGTAATTGCTGAGTGATCTTTCCCTGTTCTCAAATCAAACCACAAGCCTTCCATTGTATTTTCTCTTTCCTGTCCAGCTGAGGAGGGAAGTGGTAGGTAGAGCAGCTTTGGTGGGTACCTGGCATCCAGCCAGGGCCAGCCCACTACAAGGAGGTAAGTGAGTTATGGAGTTCTGGTAAGAAGTTCTGTTTATGTTTATCTTCTACTATGCAACAGAGCATGGGACAAACAACCTGCTGGTTCTGAAATTAGCAGTATAGTTTGGATTACCATTGGTATATGGCTTTTGAGACCTAAACTAGGATCTTTCTGTACTTGGTGCCTTGTGTCAGGTGTATGGAGAGTTATTCATTGAATATCCATTTTATTTCAATGCAATTTCTATGTGCAGAATGAAAATACGCTCTTTGCCCTCTTTAGCAAGATTCTGCTCCTTCCCAGTTTTCCCTCCTGTTTCTGGGCAGGGATTCCTCTGTGCTTCAGTATTCTCATGGATTTATGTCTGTGAAGAACTGTGAAGGCATATTTGTCTTCCCTCGTCTAAAGCATTACATTCACTAACTTCCATGTTTCTCAGAATGTTCTTGTTTTTATTTATTCCTTTGCCAGCAAAATGTTTACTGCCATTTTCCCCTCTCATTTACTTATGTTTCATTCCAGATTTGAACCTCAGTTTTAGGAGTGAGTGGTGGGTTTTTTCCTATCTGTGGAGGATGTGTTCCTGATAAACTGCATAAATGGCGGCTCTGTGCAGATATAGGTCAGCATAATAAATGAGATCTTGCATCAAAGCTTGCACTCTGGCTGAAGGGAAGCAAGGGAGAATAAAATTAGAGATGTAAGACGATGCAATATCCAAGCTTACACAAACTCATAGCCCCCCTGACAAACCAAACCCCCAATTTCCACTTCTGAGTGTTTCATTGGAGTCTTAGAAGAGTAGATGATGTCTCACCAGTGAGTGAACTTATGGCTTTATTTGGCTGCTAGTTATTCCTCCTTGATGCAGGGAAATTCGCTGCTTTGTCTGTCAGTGCTGGAGTAACCATGCCTTGACTTGGAATATACACCTTGATCACCCAAGCAGAGGCATCAAGCCAGGAGTTCTCAAAGAGCCAATAAGAGATAAATCTATTTGAACAGAAGCAATACTTAGATGTGGCAATCCTTGTATGTGCAGAGCCATGCTCTAGCATTACTGTTTCTCCTGGGAAACTACTGTAGATGCTACTTTTCTTCTTAATTCCTTATTCTTTTGAATTACTGGGAAGTAGTTCTCCACAGAGAGTTCTTCACAGCTTTTATGTTCAATTTTCCTGTGTTAGCCTGATACTTAATGGGTTCTAGTCACAGTGTCCTTTGTAACTACTTTTGTTTGGAGGCTAGATTGATTTCTCCTTTTGTCTCCAAATAGCAAGGAAAAACAAGTAGCTGCACTAAATGTGATAGTAACATAGCGCACTTCAAAAAGTAAAGAGAAAGTTTGTTGGTTTTCTCTCTTAAGAGGAGGATTTCTCTTTGGTGATGTGCTGGATGTTGTTTTTACAGGATTTTCCACTTGTTTTAGAAGATTAGCAAGATCCTTCCTTGTTTTCAAGTATGCGTAAGCATATCTGGGATTCCACGCATTGGGAGCACAATTAGGTTTATTTTAGAATGTGATTCAGTGTCTGGGGTGGACTTCACCAAATTTCTCCTCTCCTGTAAACATTTACCAATGGCACACAACACCCATAGAGGTAGTTAGAGGACAGCTTAGCTTTTCTGTTGAGAAGCACAGAGCATAATGGTCGGTTAGCAACAGATTTCTCCCAGAGGAAGGCAAAATGACCAGAAGTCTTGTTTTCCCTCTGCTTCTGCTTAAATTGACCTCTTGGAATGTAGCTGACCTGCTCTTTTGAATTGTCTGTTCCTCAGGACTCTTTAATTAAAACTGTGCTTT